GAGAGAGAGAGAGAGAGAGAGAGAGAGAGAGAGAGAGAGAGAGAGAGAGAGAGAGTCATTCTGTAGGGTATTGTCGAGAGACCCCATTGGGACACAAGATTATCGCGGGCTTGAGATCCTACTCATCAATCCTGAAATCGGTCTTCCGGTATTGGTGATTTGTCCTATTCGCTCTCATCGACCTTCTAATCAGTCTTGCGCCAATCGGTGGTTTGTCGTATTCGCCCTCGTCGATCTCCTGATCAATCTTGCGCCAATCCGGTGATTTGTCGTGTAGTGGTGGATACGTTTTAAGTTCACCCATATATACACATGCATGCCCAATCTTACCGTATCGAGTCACTGCAGGGGTGGAACACCGCAGCATGATGTCTGTCTGCCTGCCATCATCGCCTGAAGCACCGACTCTCCTTTAGACTCTCCCTCAAACAGTTTTGCCGACAGCTGTGTGGCTATGGCTGCCATCCACGTGTATTGAGTTTTCGACCTAGTGTGGATATGGCAGAGTTTTGTATGATACATTGAATACGACGCAGCTTGGCCAGTGACTTGACCACATTCAAAGATCCTACCGGTAGCAGCCCATCAGAGCTATCGCTAGCAGCCATCTGTTCTCTCAGAAGTCGATCTTAGATGAGTTATTCTTTTTATTTTTATTTTTAATTATAATTTTTTTTAGATGCCGATCTTAGAGATGGTAATGCAGACAACGCTTGGACTTTTTGCACACAACACGTGGGCGCGAGTATATCAACCCCCTTACCCGGAATTAAGTCCACATACAGATGACCAATGAGATGTGTACACGCACGCCAGCTCGGTGTTAAGGATAGGAGCGCACAAGAACGACAGACACAAAAGATTTTGAAACCCGACACGTGTCTCAAGCAAAAGATTTTTGAAACACGACACGTGTCTCAAGCAAAAGATTTTGAAACACGACATGTGTTCCGACGAGACAAGCCCGTTGAGAAGAGGAAGAGACGAGTGACACGTGGATTGAGATGCAAGGGAAGCAAGCCGCAGACGTCGTCTATGGAGAGGAGCGCGTACGACGGGACACGTGGCGGCAGACTGGTTAATGATGATGAGATAGCGTAGGAGGAGGGAGGTAGGGGAAAATAGGGAGATAGGAGAAGGAGGGTGGTTAATGATGAGATTATAATGTAGGCGTAGGGAGGTAGAAGAAGGGAAACCCGACTCTCTCCGC